TTCATGGTCTTAGATTAGGCATTGATTTCTAAGTTATGACACCAAAAGTGCAGGAAACAAAAGAAAACAAATTAAACTTTGTCAAAATTAGAAACATAATGCACTTCATAGGATATCATTAATACAATAAATAGACAACCTACATAATGGGAAGGGAGATTGTAAACCATGTATCTGATAAAGAACTTGCCTCTAGAATATAAAGAAATCTTAGTTTTTAGCAATACAAATACAACTAGTCCACTTTAAACATGGGTAAAGAATTTAAGTAGACATTTCTTTAAAAATGGCCGATAATGATATACAATGGTCAACATTATACTCACAGGGAAATGAAAACCAATACCTCAGTAAGATACCACTTCACACTCATTAGGATGGCTAAAATTAGAAACTAGACATCAATAAATGCTGACAAGACTGAGAAGAAATCAGAATCTCTATCTTCTGTCAGGAAGAAATGAAAATGATGAGAATGTGTGTGTGTGTGTGTGTGTGTGTGTGTGTGTGTGTGTGTGTATTAACATAGGTGTACTTTGAAGGCATCATGTTAAGTGAAAACCAGTCACAAAAAGCCACATATTGCCTTATTTCATTTGTATGAAATATCTAGAGGAAGCCAAGCCATAGAGGTAGAAAGTGGTTTGGGGAGGAGCTGAGGTGAGGGAGGAATAAGGAATGGCTGACAGTGAACATGGGGTATTTTATTTTATTTTTTACAAAAACTTTATTGAGAATTTCATACATGTATATAAGGTGTTTTGATCTAATCCATGCCCACTCCCTCCCCTCCAACATTCCCCCCTCTGAAGAGGTAACCCTAAAATCTTTTAAGGATTAGATACAAGCTCCCAAATACTTTTGACATTTTTGGCCTTTGGAACAGAGTATGTTGCTAACAGGCCCAAGGACATTTTGACTTTTAGCCCAGAAACTGGCTACATTTCTTTGGGGTCTTTTTACCCTAACTGCCTAGCCAATTCCTACCTCCTACTCTTATCACACCATCCTCTGAAGGGGTTACCCATATTGCCAGTAGGGAATAGCGACACAGACCACTCTGGCTCCTTCCATGCTGAACAGGGACGCAGGGTGAGGCAACTGGAGTACCCCTTCAGTGAGTCTAATTGCACTCCCCAAATTGCATAATTCTTGTCTCTAAGGGAAGAAGAAAGTCCTTGAATCACGAATAGATAGGAAGGGGAAGTAAAGGCATTACAAGTTCTAGACAGGGAACTAAAAAAAAGTCAGGGCAATTTTCAAATGTTCATATGAGAGTCCATTGGCATTTCTTTACAAGGGCTTGTTGTGCTCATTCATTAAAGGAGAGCCAAGCAGGGTCACTGGACCCTCACCTGAGTATCCAGCCACTCTTCCCAGCCAACTAGTCCAGCCTTGGATGACAAAAGAAAAATGAGGAAAAACCCAATAGAGGGATGCTTTTGATCATGGGGTATTTTAAGGGCTGGCAGAAATGCTCTGATATTAGGTAGTAGTTGTGGTTGAACAGCCCCATGGCTATGCTAAAGATTGCTGAACTGTACGTGTTAAAATGTGAAACGTAATATATTAATTATATTTTAATAAAGCAGCTTTTAAGGGGTGTAAGGCAAGAGAAGACTCAAGGGAGAAACCAAGATTTGGAGTCTAAACCAAAATTGAAGAGAAGGAATAGGTCAAGTGAGAGGGGTGTAAGACCAACTCAACAATGGATGGGGTGGACATATTCATCCTGAGCTTAGAGGAATTGCCAGGGCTAGAGAAATAAATTTGGGCATTATTAGCATTTAGATGGAATTTTAAGCCTCAGACTGGATATGATCACAAAAGGAGTCAGAGTGAGTGGAGGAGGAAAAAGACCATTTGAGGATTGAGTACTGGGCCCTGTGATGTACCAGGACTTTTCTCTGTAGGGGTCCAAGATGGCTCCTGGACAGTGAGTTTGTAATCCATCACACAGTTAGGATGAAGACAGATTTACAAAACTAGGTGTGGAGAGTACAGTCAGCAATATAGCTGGGGCTTGAATGCAAGCTATTCAGTCCTCTGAGCAAACTTAATTAAAATGGTGAGATTTATGAACTTTGGTGTTTGATTTATTTTGAAAATCAAATTCGTCTAAAAGCTTCATCCACAGTCACTGTGTGGGAGACTTCATGTTTTTAATGAGCTCTTTTTTTCCTCCTTCTTCTTCAAAACTTGCAGCACTCAGATAAGCATAATTTTGTATGTGGGGACATGTCTTCTACCCTATTTTTTTCCCAGTGCCTCTCCATTTTCTTCCAATCTCAACTCATGATTACAAGATTAGCATCTTGCCTGTGATGATTCAGGCATATTGAATAGCTTCCCAATGTGTATTTAAAATATATTGAAATCCTATCTTGGAAATATGGTGTGTAAGTTATTTTAGAATATATTATTCTTATCAAATAAAAACTAATCAAGCAGGAGCCAAGCAGCTAGATTTCTAGCATGCCTGAGCAGAGAGTTTTTATTCTTTGAATTGATTTTTCAGCCCAAATATTTTACTCCTTCAAATCATGGGGACATACAAACACTTCAGGAGTCTGTTGGTTCCTGGCATTCTCTAACGGAGAGTAAAGTGACAGATTCAGATTTCCTTTTTCACTTGGTATTTTCTATAAACGTAACACTGCAAACCACAAAGAGGGCTGTTTTGTGTCAACTGGAATTAGGAGGCAAGAAATGGGGGGGGGATAGCATAGTGTGCTAGCTAGTGTAAGGCATCCAGCGGCAACAAGCAAACCCCATGTTTTCTATAAGTTAAGACAACAGAGGTTTGTTTCTGTCTGTTTTAAGCTAGTACCAATGGTTCTGTGAGAGAGTGTTGCTTCTCCCATTCAAGGGCTGGCATCTCTCCAATCAGCAACCCCCCCTTGGGCTCTTAGAGTCCTCTTCATCCTCAAGTCATAAAGAACACAAAGAGGACACTGCAGCTTCCTCAAACTCCAGCCAGTTTTTCTCACAGTCCACACTGAGTTCACCACCACACTGGGTGAATGGGAATTGGCATGTGCCTTAGTTGAGCACCATCTTCCGAGCAACAGGTCTGCACATGGATAAGGAAGCATGAATTTGGGGAAGGGACACACAAAGCTTTAGAGACATACAACCTTGAGTTTAAGTTCAGAAACCATAAGCCAGGTGACCTTGGGTGAATTACTCAAGCCTTCTGAACTAATCAGCTAGCCCTTTTTTTGTTTTGTTTTGCTTTTGGTCTTTTTGAGACAGGGTCTCCCTGTAGCCCAAGCTGGCCTGGAACTCACTATGTAAACCAGGCTGGCCTTGAACTCACAGAGATCCGCCTGCCTCTGCCTCCCAAGTGCTGGGATCAAAGGTGTGTGCTACCACACCCAGCTTCAACTAGTTCTTTAAAAAAATTTTTTTTTAATTTTATTTTATGTGTATGAGTGTATTGCCTGCATATATGTAAGTGCACCAGTGTCATGCAGTGCCCATGGAGGTCAGAAGAGGGCATTGGATTCCCCTGGAACTGGAGTTACAGATGGTTGTTAACCTCCAGGTGGGTTCTAGGAATCGAGCCCAAGTCCTCTGCAAAAGCAGCCAGTACCCTTAGCCACTGAGCCATCTCTCGGACCCCTGACTTAGTTCTTTTACATATCCGTTTACTCTTCAAAATGGGAGAAAGACCCACCTTGTAGAGTAATTGTGCTTGTTAAAGGCAATGAATATGCCCTGCTCACTACAGAGTGAGTTTACCAGTTGAGACTATTTGGAGTGTGAGAGACACAGATCCAACTTCATAGGGTAAGCTCTAGAGAGGATCTAATAGCATCAGAAATCAGATCGCTTGATGACCTGGGCAGTTGGACTCAGAGATGGGAATCTGCCTGTGCTTCCCACATCTGTTCCTTGGTACACGTTGGCCTCAAGAGCTCCTACGGCAGAGAGTTCTCCCTTCAACTAGGAGGGGACAGGGATGTTCACAGCCCCACACTCAGATCCCAACTTGTTTCCTTAGCAGTGCTAGCCAGAAAATCTGAGGGAAGGACACAGATGGGCCAGACATGAGGGCTGTGTCCCTTTCCTGCAGTCAGAAGCAAACGACGTAGAAGAGGGAAACCAGAGAGTAAATAAGTTGATGAGGCTCAGTCTGTAGTTGTTGTTGTTTTCTTTTTAAAAGTTTATTAATTCTTTGAGAATTCCATACTATGTATTTTTATCATATTCACCCCCAATTCCTCCAACTCCTTCCAGCTCCCCCCACCTGCTCACCGTTTCCCAACTTCATGTCCTCTGCTTTTTGTTTTTTTCAAGTAACTTCCAGAGTCCAGTTTGTGTTACCCATATACTCATGGATGTGGATTTGTACAAGGCTACCCAGCCATTAGATTATAGTATTAAGATTCCAACCCAAGCAGACGAGCTCTTCACCACCATGTCTCAACCAACACCCTCACAAGTCTGTTCCCTATGTTCTCCAAATATCTGTCCAGTGACTGGGTTGGTGCACTTGTATTAAGAGCTGAGAACAGATGTGATTAACAAAGGTACCACAGATCAGACCCATTCCATCAGTTCCCTGTGAAGCAGGGTCCATGGAAAAGGAAGTGATTGGTCATCTTGTAGGAGAAGTAAAGCCCAGAAACTTGGAGCCACAAGTGTCCCCTCCCTTTGATCACCTTCAACATAACTGAAGGGACCAGGAATGTAGGTCTCATTGTCTCCTTCACAACAAAGAAGGATCCCTTTCAACATTTTGCCTTTCTGTGGGGTGGGCATGGGGCAGAGTTTAAACTTGGTCAAGTCAAACTAGACCCCATAACAGATAGCAGCGGGGAAACAGAGAACAAATGTTGAAAACCTGTTACTAGCTGAGTGTGTGGTACACACAGGTGGATGAAAAGGTTCAAGACTAGCTTGGGCTACATAGGAAAACCCTTTCTAAAACAAACAAACTAATTAATTTACTTATTAATTAAAAACTCTATTACTTTCTCCCAATTCCTCCACAGATCTGGGATCTGGAGACGCACAGCTGCTTGTTTACCGCCTCTTCCAAAGCCAGTGGCATTAAGGGAGAACTCACAACCTGTCTGTATCTCCCTGGACCTAGAGCCCTGTGTGTGGCCACTGATGCTATGGCTTTCCTTCACCTGAAACTGAGGTAGGGGGATGTCTGTCTTCTGGACTCCGTGTGCTCAGTGCTCTAGTGAATTCTAGAGGAGTCCAGTGCCATGGTCAACCTTCTCAGTGTTCTGTTACTCAAATCTTTGTGCAGGCTCTGGACCTGTAGCCCAGCATATAGTTATGCGGTATGCATATAGCATATAGCATATATTTGGTGAGATTCTCTTAACAGATTTCTTCCAGCATCACTGGAGTAACCTGTATTATCCAGGAGTCTGTGACTTCCCCTTAGCCCTACCCCATCCACCAACATTAACCCTATAGTAAGTGCAAGTTCACTATACCAGGCAGAAGCTAAGTCCAAAGGCAGAAGCCACACAGAGCCCTGGGGGTGTGGGGTGGGGAATTGTTGCCTCTGTCATACCCATGTCTCAGACCCCTATCCATAAAGCAAGCTAGCCTCACAAGGCAGATAATGAAGCAAGGCTGTATTGAGGGGCTCATGGGTGGCTTCTCCTGCCAGGAGCTTTAATGCCTTGCAACCAGAGTCTCCTCAATTCCTCTGCATATGAATGCACTTTGGTTTCCTTGGTGCTCCCCTACCAGGCTATGGCACCATTGCCTCCTTGGCAAAGAATCTAGTATTCCCTTTCCTTCCCATCCACCCTCTGCCCTGCTTGGGCTGAGCTGTCTGTTCTGACAGTATCCTCAGGTATGCAAAAGTTACCTTGTTCAACCCTGGAGCTTTGTAGGTGAGTAATCAGGGATCCATAAGCAGGGTATATATTGCCCTAGGATGCACAAGAACCAGAAGCATAGTAAAAACTGATCTCCTGCCTGTGGGGGGTGGGGGCAATCTTCAGGTTTCTCTCTGTACCCATCCCCCCCCTACTGAAATGAATCGAATGGGAGGGAGAGCCTTACTTTTAAAAATATTAGAAATAAGCTGGGCGTGGTGGCTCACGCCTGTAGTCCCAGCACTTGGGAGGCAGAGGCAGGCGGATCACTGTGAGTTCAAGGCCAGCCTGGTCTACATAGTGAGTTCCAGGGCAGCTGGGGCTTACAGGAAGACCCTGCTTCAAAAAGACAAAAAAATATATATATATTAGAAATTGGAGATATACATCTTAGTAGCCCTTTTTCTTAGCTTGCAAAAAGGCACCCTTCAGATGCCCTAAGAAGCTCAGTGGCCATGGAAAAATCCATCCACATCCTTTCTGTGGAGAAGGAATTCTCCCCTGCCCAGCCAGCATGGGTGATGAGGTGCTTGGCATATGCTTTGAGATGTGCAATGCCCTCTACATTCCAGAAACACAGACATTGTTAAAGCCAGCCTCTGGTGAAAATGTAGCCCATTCTTGTTCCTCTGTTACTCCTCCCCACTGTCAGCTTTTCGTCATGTTCAGCAATATTGAGAATTCAAAGTCAGTATATGTGGCCCAAGACAAGGATGCAGAAAAGCTTTAGAGTCTGTATGGGGCACGCTGGGCGCCAGGTGTGGGGTGCGCGGGTATCTGCTCCTGCGCTGCTTCCCTGCGTCTTCCATGGCTCTCTGCTGCTGAGGCTTTGCTCAGCTGTGTCACGCCCTAATTTCACCCATGCACTTTCCTCAAGATGCGAGTTCCACCGGCCGCTGGATCACGCGGGAGAGTGTGAGGGCGGCTAAAGCTGGGATCCGTGAGTCGGTGACTGAAAGACAGCTCTTCCCGGGAAGGCTGGATCATAGGCAGTGAGACAAGACTCAGCTCAGTCAGACTCAGTGTTAGCTCTTTATTCAATGGGTCTGCGTGGCTCCAAGCCTCAGTGTCCCAGAGTGATCCAGCTCCTTCAATTATTGAGGGGAATCAGGGAACTTTATACCATGGGGGTAGTGGTAAAAGCTTCAGCTGTGAGGTACTTTGGGGATGCCTCATTTGCGTGTGGAAATGGGCTCCCGCCAGGCTGCCAAACTGCTTGAAAATCACACAGGAAAGCCTAATGGTTACAGAGCTGGAGGCTACATTCTTGTGGCTGCTACTTCACAAAGGAGTCAGGAAAAATGCCGGGAAGACGCCCTGCTGTGAAAGGAGTCTCTACATATGGCTCCGAGCTCGTGAGCTATCCGGACATGAAGAAACTTCTACTTTACACAACAGAGGTCCCCAACAAGTCTGCACAGAATCTATCATAATCTGCATATTTCAGATGCTATCTGTCTCACAGTGGGAACTGGCTTCCTGAGACACAAATCAGGACAGATGTCTTTCCCAACGTCTTCTCTTAAATTGTGAATATAGGTATAAGAGGAGTCTTAATCCATTTGTTGTACTCAGAGGTCAAATCACATGTTAGGAATTAAAGTTGTATGGGGCTACAGAGAGGGCTCAATGGTTAAGAGCACTGGCTGCTCTTGCAGAGGACACAGGTTCAATTCCCAGCACCCACATGGTAGCTAACAACTGTCTGTAACTCCAGTTCCAGGGGATCCAATGTCCTCTTCTGACCTCCATGGGCATTTCATGACAAGGGTGCACTTACACACACCCAGGCAAAACACTCGTACACATAAAAAAATTCAATTTAAAAGTTTTTTGAAAAGGAATTAACACTGTAGGGTAGGAAACCCATTTATGGCATCAGAACTCCACAGAGAAGCCCAGAAATATGGCTCTGACCCTGATCATCCACTTCCTTCCTAACCTGCCCAGTGAGTCTGTGCAAGTAGTTCACCTGGCTCAGGAACCATTACAGCGTGATTAGTACAGCCAGGCTCAGAAGCATCTCCAGCTCTTCATTCAAGATGCCAAAACAGCCAGTTGAAAGCAGAAGCTTCCGTCAATCAAACTGCTGTTTGCTCTGCATGATAGCATTGTGTAGAACAAACAGCTGCTTGATTGATTTCTTTTGGAACGCAGTGACTGAAATTCTACCTGATGACAAACACAACCTCAATCTCTCGTGCTAACACTTGGGTGCCAGATCATGTCCCCCATCCTAGCCCACCCTGTCCCTGCTGTTACTCAGGAGCTGTGAAACCCGGAGTTGTCTTATCGGTAAAGCTGGAGCTCCTCTTCTGGCAGTTGGGAAGAGGGACAGGGCCAACTGCCATGACCAGAGCTTTCTCTCCTTCATCTTTGTCCAGTATACCTGTGCCCTCCCTTCTCACCCTGCCTGAGCCAGTCCCTATCTTCACCTCCTGAAGCCTAGGTTTAGTTCATGGAAAAGTTATAAATGCCTTTATGCCAAACTTGCTCTTTTGGGCACATGTCTGAGGCTTCATATCTGTGGGACGCTCAGCTGTTCTGAGTCAAGCTTTGGGCTTCATGCAGAAAGACAGTTGAGAGAGAGGTGGCAGGGCAATGGCACATGGAAACCAACATTCTATATTGTGCCCACTGTGTGCCAAGTTCCTCCCCATGATTACTCTTCATATTTCCATAAGGGACTCTGTTTTGTAGATGAGGAAATCAGTCTAATGGGCTGGGGTTGCTTATCTCTTGTGTGCTGTCCTCCCAGAGGGGGTCCATAGAGCAAAGGTCTGGTTGCTCAGGTGTGCCCTTTGCACCAGGCACCCATGGGAGTCATAGCACAGGGCCTGCTGGGATCTGCTGGGCCTCATCCCTGTTGTAGCCAAGATGTGACACCTTTTGGGTACAAGGATTCAGAGTACAAGATTCATAAGCAGAGTCAATCTGCTTATGTTTGTTTGGGAAAAGATACAAATTATTAGCATTCTAGATTATTCTGTAGCCTTATAAAATCACATCCCACCCACCCTTAAGAGGAGATGCAGAGACCATTGTGGTGGTACACACTTAACAATTCTATCACTCAAACAGAGGCAGAGGCAGGAAGATCTTGAGTTCAAAGTCAGCCTAGCCTGCATAAGGAGATACTGTCAAGATTAATAAATGAATAATACATACATACATACATACATACATACATACATACAAAACATGCATAAATAAGTTTCTTGTTCAGCAGTCATTATGCCTTATCACATGCCCACTATATGTTTGATGTTTTCTCATTTAATTCCAGTAACAACACTTTAAAGTAGATATTATTATCCCCATTTTGCAAATTAGAGAGTGGGGATTTTGAGCAGTCAGGTGGCTTGGGCAGGGTCCCAGACCCATCATTTGACCCCAAAGCCTTTCCTGTTGGCCCCTGTGCAATGGAGCAATAGGTGGACCCTCCTGACTATCTCTGTCATGTGCTCACCTCAGGTGTCCATTGTCTTTGTTTTTCATGAGCAAGATCTGCCCCAGATCCCCACCTGGTGCTTTCCCACCGAGAGCCTGTCGTGTGCTGCAGGTACAACCCGACCTTCAGGCATGTGGTCAGCTGCTGTGAAGCATCTGTAAGTATCCACTCCTGCCGTCTTAGCAGTGATGTACTTGTGAGGTGGGCCTGACTGCTCCACCTTATTAGAGCTGAGCAGCATGTTCAGCTGACATTCTGCTCCTGGAAGGAAACAATGGGAGGACACTCAGCTCCGCTCTCTGAGTATTGTTTGGAAATTCTTCTTTTAGAGTCAGATGGAAAAGGCTGTGCCTTTCCCCGGCAGATCCCAGTGTGAGCTATTTGGAAGGAACATCCTGAGAGTATTTTTTGCCTTTTGGTTTTCTTTTACTCTGTAAAGCAAATACTGTCCCCTAATCGGTTGGTTGTAATTCTAATCCAGGATTGAGGGGCAGAGACTTCCACGCCCACTTCCCCTCACACAGGCTTATGAGGACCATATTGTCTACACCCTTGGTGAGTGACACAGTGTTGGTCCAATAGGGGGCATAACCAGAGCCCCTTGAGTAAGAAAAATATATCCCATGATTCTTTTGTCTGTGTGCTAATGAAAAGGCTCACCCTATGTTTATGATACTTCACTGTTCTGGAATCTTTTAATATAGTCCAGTGTCACAACAATGCGACACATTCTAACAAATGAGTCATTGGCTAACTTGTCATTGTGCATACATAACAGAATGCTCTTACAGATACCTAGATGGTATAGCCTACTATATACCCAGGCCTAAACAAAGGGTGTACACCATGTCTGTATATGATACAGTCTGTTGTTCCCAGGACTACGATGAACAAAACAGCAAGTTCTTAAACCAAGAGACATGGTAAACACGAGTTATTGAGACTGCTGCCTGCAGCATAGTTTTGAACTACCTTTTATAAGTAAAAGTACACCCTAAGTGATAAAAATGGGGTATAAGAAATACACAAATCAGTAGCAGTCATCTGTCATTATTATCAAGTATCACATATTGTACATAGTTGCATGTGCTAGACTTTTCTGTAAAAGGTAGCTTGTAGACCCACAAATACATGAGTACTGTGTTACACTAGGACTTTAAGACAGCTTTGAATTTACTAAAAGACAAAAAATTGTTCAGCCCCTTTATAATCTTATGGAACCAGTGGCATATGCAGTAGATCACTGACAAATGCATGTTCAATTACTTAGTTCATGTCTTAGTTCAATTACTTAGTTCATGTCTTAGTTCAATTACTTTCTGAATCACTAGTCTGGATAGCTCTCCAGATGAGCGGCCCAGCCTTGTGGCCCTATTTTTTTTCTCTTCCTTCAAGAGCCAGGCCAATCAGCATTCAAGGTCATGGCCCCAGGGGCATCCCCACAGCACCCTGAACAGCTGCAGTCCATCCCTCACTCCTCACTCTCAATCCTTCTTCACTCCCAGCAAGAACCAATTATCCTCATGCAAATTTCTATCCAGTTTCTGGTCACCGATCGTCATGATTTTTTTAAGTGTTAAAAATATATTACAAGCCTGAGAGGGTGGGCTCCAACATCTATCAGTGTAGTGGCTGTGATCTCAGCAGACTACCAGAGAGTGCTGGGTTCTGGCCACCCCCTGGCATAGGGGCTGAGAATGCAGGGGACTGCTTGAGAGTGCCTGGATCCTGTCTCCACGTTGTGGTGAGCTTCCCCTAATTGCGCCATACCCATCCCCCTACCTGGGATTTTGGGAGGCCCCTCCCAAGGACCCAGGAAAGACCTGGCTTTGGTAGGCTAAGGCTGAGATCCTAGCAGACAGCCTGAGAGTGTGGGCTCAGACTTCCATCTGTGTAGTGGCTGTGATCTCAGCAACACCACCAGAGTGCCAGGTTCTGGCCTCTCTCTGGCATAGGGGCTGAGAACATAGCAGACCAACTGAGAGTCCCAAAATCGGCCTCCTCCAATTTAGGGAATTTCCCAAATTTTCTCTGAGTTCCTGCTAACAGGGGTCCAAGAAGCCTGAGTGTACCTGACTGGAACCTGACTTGGGCTTCTGTGGGTATCAATAGCTTATCTGAAGCCATCAGTTTCCTCCAAAATAAAACCTGAGAGAACCTGAAACCTGTACCAACCAGTTTTACATAACCAATAAGGAAAGGACCTAGGCACCCCAATAATACAAACAGAAGCATACTTCAACTTAATTCTCATATCAGAATCATAAACAACAAATGAAATTCACATGCCAAAAAGGGGCATAGCGAAAGAATAATAAAATGGAAAGCCAAAACACTATGTCCCCACCAAACTCCACTCTTCTACCAATCTTGTAGAAGAGTTCTACAAGGAGAACCCCCTAGAGATAACCCAGGACACTGAATTTAAAAGAGCAATCATAACATGATCAAGAAATTCAACTAATTTAAAGAAAACATGAACAAACAAATCAAAGAACTAAAATAAGATAAGGATAAACTTTTGAAAAATTCACAAAAGAGATAGAAACATTGAACAAAACTCAGGCAGAAATGAAGAAGGAAGTGCAAAACTCAATAAGCCAACTTTAGAGAACAGAGGAAAGCCTCACCACTAGAATGAATGAAACAGAAAACAGTATATCAACACTGGAGGATAAAGCTGAAGAACCGGACCACTCAAGCAAAGATTATGGAAAAATTTTAAAAACATAGGAATGGAATATGCAAGAGATGTCGTCGGACACCATGAAATGACCAAATGTACATGTCATAGGAATAGAGGAAGGAGAAAAATTTCAGGTTAATGGTATTGACCAGATCTTAAACAGGATTATAAAGAGAATTTCCCCAAATTAAGGAAAGACAGACAAATACAGGAAGCACATAGAACACCAAATAGACAGGATCAGAAAAGAAACTCCCCATGACATATCATAGTAAAAACACTAAATACGCAGAACAAAGAGAGAATACTGACAGCAGCAAAAGAAGAACAAGTCACATACAAAGAAAAGCCCATCAGAATTACAGCTGACTTATCAATGCAAACTATGAAAGTTAGAAGAGCCTGGACCAAGGGATTTCTTCAGTTCTACATGACAATAGATGCCAGCCCAGAATACTTTACCCAGAAAAAATGTCTATTATAGTTGAAGGGGAAAGAAAAATCTTCCATGACACAAATAGCCTGAAAGAAGACATGTCCACAAAACCAGCCCTTCAAAGAATACCTGAAGCAATACAGAGAACAGAGAGAGAAACAACTATACCCCTGGGCAATGAAGGAAAATAAATAAAGGTATAATTGAGGAAAGAAAAAATTAGACAGAGAGCACAAACACCAATCAAAATGACGGCAACCAATACATATCTTTCAATAATAACCTTAAATATCAATGGACTGAACTACCTAGTTAAAAGACACAGGCTAAGTGAATGGATTAAGAAAATAAAATCCATCTCTTTGCTGTCTGCAAGAAACCCATCTCACCTTCAAGGACAGGCACTACCTTAAGGTAAAAGAATGGAAAAGAACCAAGAAAATGGCATTAAGAAACAAGCAGGAATTGCAATTATAATACCTGACAAAATAGACTTCAAAGTAAAAATAATCAGAAGTGATAAGGAAGGTCACTTCATTCTGATCAAAGGAACAATTAACCAAGAAGGTATTACAATACTTAACATTTATGCACCAAACTCTGGTGCATCCAAATTCATAAAAACAACACTATAGGACTTTAAGACACAGATTAACCCCAACTCAGTAATAGTAGAGGACTTCAATACCCCACTATTTCCATTAGACAGGTCAACTGGACAAAGCCATAAACAAATAAACATCTGAATTAAATGATACCATACATCAAATGGACCTAACAGACATCTTTCAAATATTCTACCCAAGCACCAAAGAATGCACTTTCTACTCAGCACCTCACAGAACTTTTTCAAAAATTGACCACATACTGGGCCACAAAACAAACCTCAATAAATACAAAAAATAACTGAAATAATTTCATGCATTCTATCAGGCTACAATGCAATAAAGCTCAAAATCAACACTGGACAAAACCCTACTCACTACACAAACTCATGGCAATTAAACAACACACTCCTAAACAATGAGTGAGTCCAAGGAGAAATTAAGAAAGAAAAGAATTCCTGGAATCCAAGGAAAAGAACAATACAACACAACACAACCGCTGGGACACTTTAAAAGCAGTCCTAAGAGGGAAGTTTACAGCTCTAAGTGCCTACATTAAAAAATTAGAAAGAGCTCAAATAAATGACCTAACACTGCAACTCAAGATGCTGGAAAGGCAAGAACAAATGAAACCCAACCCAGCAGAAGAGAATAAATAACAAAAATCAGAGAAGAAACTAATGAAATAGAAACAAAGAAAACAATACAAAGAATCAATGTATCTTAGAGCTGGTTCTTTGAAAAGCTAAACAAGATAGACTCTTAGCCAAGTTAACCAAAAGAAAGAAAGAGCAAAACAAATCAACAAAATTAGAGATGAAAGGAGAAACATCACAACAAACACCCAAAAGATCCAGATCATTATAAAGGAATATTTTAAGAACCTATAAGCTACTAAATTAGAAAATCTAAAAGAAATGGATGGATATCTAAAATCATGGGAACTATCAAAGTTAAACCAAGAAGAGATCAACAGTTTAAATAGACCCATAACATATAAGGAAATGGAAACAGTAATACAAAGCCTCCCAACTATAAAAAGCCCAGGCCCAAATCAACAGTTTAAACAGGTCAATAACATACAAGGAAATTGAAACAGTAATACAAAGCCTCCCAACTAAAAAAAAAGCCCAGGCCCAGACGGATTTGCAGCAAAATTCTACCAGACATTTAAAGAAGACATCCAACCAATACTACTTAAATTATTCAAAATGATAGAAACAGAGGGAGCACTCCCAGATTCCTTCTATGAAGCCAGCATCACTCAAATACCTAAACTGGGTAAAGACACAACCATAGAAGAAAACTATAGACCCATATCTTTAATGAACGTAGATGCAAAAATTCTCAACAAAATACTTGCAAAACACATACAGATGAGCATAAAAAAAGATCATTCACCATCATCAAGTAGGCTTTATTCCAGAGAT